AAAGGTAGAGACCAGCAGAAAAGAAAACTCACTTCATATGTAGTAACACAGGCAGGTTCAAGGTAAAAGTATTGAAATGGATATAAAATGCAGACATTAATTTAAAATAAAAGCAGGCGTGGCTGTATTAATATCATAAAGTAAACTTTAGAAGAAGAAAAATATTAGAAATAAAGAGGGACTAAGATAATGATAAAAAGTCTACACACCAAAATACGAAACTAAAAACATACACACTCATCAACAGAGCCTCCAAAATAATTCAAGTAAAAATTACTAAGCTGAAAAGACAAAGCTGTAATTTTATTTTTGGGTTTTTTTTTTTTTAATTATTTAAAAGGCACAGCGACAAGAGGGAGACAAAAAGGAAGAGAAGGAGGTTATATCTCCCAGCTGCTGTTTCATGCACCAAATGCCCACAACAATTGGAGCTGGGCCAGGCAGAAGCCAGAAGCCCAAAACTCCATTCAAGTATCCCACATGGGTGATCTGTATCCAACTACGTGAGCCATCACCTGCTCCCTCCCACGGTGAGCATTAGCCAGAAACTGGGTGGGAAACGGAGCAGGGACTCCAACACAGGCATTCCAACGTGGGATGCAGGCCTCCCAACCACTGGACTTTCAAGCATTCACCTCCAAGCGTTTAACTATGGCATCCATATCCTATTTTCAAAGGTGGATAGAAGTAACAGAAAGAAAAACAATAAGAACGTAAGCAACGCAATGAAACAGAGTGTAATGAAATAAAAGGACATTCCACCCAACAAGTAGCACGTTTTTTCCAAACACCCTCGGACCCTACGCTAAATCATCACACAACCTCAGCAGATCTACAGGAACTGAAGTGATGGACAGGATGTGTTCTCTGACCATAAAATCAAACTAGGAATCAGTTAACAGACTGATAGCAAAAAATCTCCAAAACACAGAAATTAAATAACACATTTCTATATAACACATGGTCAAAGAGGAAGTATCAAAGGAAATGAGAAAGATACACTGCACGGAATGGATTAAAAAAAATCATCTGCAAAAACTCCAAAGGCATTGCTGAGTGGGAGATTTATAGCAGTAAAAGCTACATGAGACCTTTTACAAGTAAAAAGGTCTCAAATCAATAATCTCAGTATCTACTTTGAGAAATGAGAGAAAAGATCAAACCAAAGTAGGAGGAAAAAATAATAAAAATCAGACAAGATACTGGCAACAGAAAAATGAGTGAGAAAATTAATGAAAAAAGCTGGTTTACTCAAAAACACAAACCCAAGATAAGTGATATAGTACGTACCAAGAATGAGAAAAGTTAAGAGAGAAGTAAATCACCAATATTAGAAATAAAAATGGATTTCACAACAAATCTTTCAGCAGTTAAAAAGAAGTAAGGGGATACTAGGGAAAAAATATATTCATAAACTTAAGAAGTCCGAATAAATGGACCAATTCTCTGAAAACCATTAACTACGAAACTCAACTACACCAAACTTAAAATCTGAATGATCTTGTGACGATTAAACAAACGGGTCATTTAAAAACTCTGAAAAATCAATCATCAGGCCCAGATGGATTCCACTGCAAAAGTCTACCAAACACTAAAATAACACAAATTTTATGAACTATCTTCCAGAAAACAAGAGATAAATTCCAAATCTTTATATGAGGCCAGGATTATACCGAGATTAAAATTACAGAATGGATGGAAGCAGTGGGGGAGAGAAGCAATAAGCAAACTACAGAATAATCTCTCATGAGCTCTGTGCAACAACAGTCAACACAGTATTAGTGTTAGGACCTGTCAGGCCACTGAGGCCTCATAGAACCCATTAGGTCACTGGGCCTGAACCCCCAGTCCTGGGGACAGAGAATAACCTAAAGGCTAGTGAAATGTTTTTGCTCCGGGAATACCCAGCACACGGGACATTCCAGACTGCTGAGACCACGCACCATAAACCTCGCATGCCTTTGCCTGTCTCCCAGCCACCTCATCAGCGTCCTTGTGGCCCTCTGCGCCTCCCCCAACAAGCCGCTCAAGAAGGGACTCTGCCTGCCGCACAGAGAGAATAAAGCCGAGCTCCACCGCCACTCTTCACCTCGCCCCCAGTTTTGTCTCCCCTAAGATAAAGTCCTTTCTACTTGAACTGTCTCTTCACTTTCTTGGAACCCTACAATCCTAAAACCTAACAACTAGGAAATCAAATCCAGCCACATATAAAAGCATTAAATGCTATGACCAAGAGAGATTTATCCTAGGTATACAAGTCCGTGTAACACCTGAAAATCAATTACTATAATGCATCATACCAATAGTTTAAAAAACTTATTACTGGGCCAGCGCCGCGGCACAGTAAGCTAAAGCTTCCGCCTATGGTGCCGGCATCCCACACATGGGCTGGTTCGTGCCCTGGCTACTCTTCTTCCAATCCAGCTCTCGGCTATGGCCTGGGAAAGCAGTGAAAGGTGGCCCAAGTCCTTGGGCTACTGCACCCACATGGGAGACCCAGAACAACTTCCTGGCTCCAGGCTTCAGGTAGGCCTAGTTCTGGCTGTTGCAGCCATTTGGGGAGTGAACCAGCAGATGGAAGACCTCTCTCTCTCCCTGTAACTCTACCTCTGCAACAAAGACATAAAAATATGAGTTTAAAAACTAAAAAAATTTTTTACAAAAGATATTATTCTATTAGTTGATACAGAAAAGGCATTTGACAAAAGCCAGCATTCATTTATGATGAAACAACAGTTATCATCAGGCTGAGATTCAAGAGTAGGAATAAAGAGGATCTTTTCTTCCATTGGATAAAGGGTATATCCAAAAAAAAAGAAAAAAAAAATCTCGAGTTAAAATCCTATTTAACAGCACAAAACCACGTGCCTGCCCTCAAAGACGAGCGACAAAGCCGGGACGTGTGTCCTCAGCACTCCTGTTCACCACAGTACTGCAAGTCCCAGTCACGGCTGGAGAGCGAGAATGTGCCGTTTCTTTGCTGTATCCCGGCTGAGTCTGGTCTTCATGACTGACAAAACGATGGAGACGAGCTAAGGTCATGAAGCACCTGACTCAGCTCGCAGCTGTGGAGGCCAGGAGTCCAAGCTCAGGCAGTCCTACACACCTGGCCTCTGGAGACGCCGGGCTGGCAGACGACACCACACCAGGAGCCCAGGGAACGAGATCATGTCATCAGATATGAAGCCCGAGGATGACTCAGGGGTCGCACATGCTTTCACAGCAAGTCACTCTTGTGAGAACAAACCCAGGGTCCCCAACGAGCAACCTTAGTCTCCTCCGGTGGCAGTGCCCCCAGGGACTCAAAGGCTTCCCACTAGACTTCCCACTAGACCCTAGCTCTTCAAGGTCCCACCCCTTCCAACGCTGCCCCGCCCTGAAGCTTTGCTGGACAAACCGCACCCAAACCACAGCAACCCTGGACGTGAAGTAGCTGGGCCAAAAGGCAAAGAAATATGTCCATCTTTCTATCTGATGGTCAAGCAAACTTACAGTCTGAAATCTAAAATACTCTTAAAATTGGAAACAATTTGAGCACCAACACAATGCCACAAACAGAAAATTCCATGCGTGACCTCAGGAGATGAGGTCAAAGCATAGGCGGACCAAAGATACCCTACAAAACCACCTTCAGGCTCCGTGTATAATATGTGAATTCCTAAATGAATTTCATGCTCAGACTTCGGTTCTATCCCACCAAGATTTCTCATTATATATCTGCAAATAATCCAAAATTTAAATAAATCAGATCCCAAGCATTTCAGACAAGGGATGCTCAAACTGCATTGCCAAATTCCTCTCCATATTGAAAAGTGTTCCGTGGTTCCCCGCCTCAGCCCCACAATGTGTGGGAGCTCGCGTTTCCAGAGCCTCACCAGAACACACTGTCCAACACAGCCAGGGCGCTGAGTAAGGAATGGTACCTCACTGTGCCTTTAATTTGCACTTGCATTTTAATGAGAAAGATTTAGCATTACCTCATGGGTTTAAGGGTCATCTGCTTTGCCTTAACGCCATGAGCTGGCTGTGCACGGCCCTGGGCTGTGTTTTTGCCTCGTCCCTTTTATCTGTTGGTGAGTTTGGGTTTCTTCGCTCTATGATTAAAGGCTTCATGCAACGATCTGGAGATTCCTTGTTGTTCATTCATACTACAGACTCATGCACTCCAAGTCGGCTGGAAGATTGTGTGTGGGAGTAGGGCTTATGAGAGATGGGCTCTCCTGATGGGACGAGGTTTCTCCGGCTGCAGTGGGCGACACTCAGATGTCAGCCCCTCGAGTGCTTTCCATTGGGGATCAGTCAGCTTCCCCAAGAGGACACGCCAACATTTAGCCCAGAGAATGGAAGCAGACTGCCAAAAATGTAAGACTCAGGAAGGGGAGGGAAGAAGAGGTGGTCACCTTGCAGAGGAAGCTGCCGGTCCTCAGCTGTCCTGATGTTCAGGACAGGGGAGGAGAGCGGGGGCCGACTCTCCACTATGCTCCTGTGTGCAGGCTCACCTTCCTGCCACCAGTGCCTGCACAGACAGCTGGGACGCCGACTCTCAAGCTTCCACAGTTCTCCCCACAATGGCTGCTGCGGCCGGCACACCGCGCTGATCCGAAGCCAGGAACCAGGTGCTTCTTCCTGGTCTCCCATGCAGGTGCAGGGCCCAAGCACTTGGGCCATCCTCCAATGCCTTCCTGGGCCATAGCAGAGAGCTGGACTGGAAGAGGAGTAACCAGGACAGAACTGGCACCCTGACCGGGACTAGAACCCGGGGAGCCGGCACCGCAGGCGGAGGATTAGCCTAGTGAGCCACGGCGCCGGCCGAGGACACCTGACATTTTACACCCTCAGGAAATCTTAGGACAGAGTTGTGGGCGGCAGTGTGGAGTAGGACAAACTCCTGCACCAGGCCCAGAGAGAGACCAAGGAAAACCCCGTGAGGCAGGTGTGAAGCTCCCGGGGAGACAGGCATCCCACGGAAGGCGCCGAGGACGAAGCACGGAGAGCCATACCTGGCTTGACAGCAGAGCAGCAACACCTCACGGTTATGAAGCAGGATATACAAGAGCACCAGGAAGGCTTTGGCTCTAATGCAAGTGGACGGGCTGTCGAGTAGACGGATAACTGTGGAGACAAAATCCTGCGGAAGACATTGAAGAAACACATTTTTTGAGAAAACATGAAAAAAAAAACGGTAGCCTCACCTCTTGGAGTGAGGACATTATAATAATCAAATGGACAGCAGGAAATAAAGTAATAGTGGCTACTGCGTTTGCCTTCTCAACCTGTCCTGGATCCCTAGTAGAGCTTTTTATATTATTATTTCACTGACACCTGGAAATTAAGATATAAATATTGACAATGATATCCCTATGTTGAAGGAAAAAAATCAATCTTTAAAAGTTAAGTAATCTGCCCAAATTCTGAGGTGAATTCAAATCCAGACCAGTAAAACAAACCTGTCTCCTGACTATGCAATCATATAACCAGCAATACCTAACTAAAGAGTTGGCAATCACAACTACGTGTAGATTTGAAGCTCTGAGCAAACCTGCACATAAAGAAACGAGATCTCTCATCTACATATCTGAGGCTTAACAGATATACAGTAAAATGAATACCCAATACATGATGCATAAGAAAAACCTATACTTCTGCAATGTTCTTTAATTAAAGCTGTAATACCACATTCAGCAATAACTTCTGGCAAACGGTTATGTTATTTTTCCTTTAATACACAAGTTGTATGTCATTTCAGGTGCCTATTGAATATACAAATATTCAAATAGCACACACACACACACACACACAAATGTGCACGTGCACATGCAGAGATTGCTAATGAATGTTAAGCAGCCAGGAATACAGAATCAGAGTTCCCAAGAGTCCTTGCCTAAGACAAGCCTAGCAGTAACACTGTGAGTCCGAGGCAGAATTCACAACCTCAGCTTCTTTTTACACACCTGGTCCTTTTACATTGGGTGCTACGCGGCCAGGTGGGCAGAACTTGCAGTCCTGCATAGGCTTCTATTCAAGGAAGGTACACGAAGCAGCATCAGTCTCACGGAGATCCGGAACCAAATCATCAAAGCCAGGTAACCACTTGAGGAGGGGAAAGGCAGACTCGCTCCCAAGGCGTCCTACAACGTGTTTCCAGCTTTCAGCATCCTGACAGGAGAACACCCATCTCCCCACCGGCGATTCCGTACGCTAGTTCATACTCTGCGGTACAAGGACCCCAGTGGCCAATCTGCCTTCCACACCAATGCCAACACCTGTGCATGCACGCACACACACACACACACACACACACACTGCAAAACCACTCAAATCTCCACCAGCCATTGACTGAAAAACCAGTCCACTTTAAAGGAGACTAAAAAGACAAAGAGAATTAACTGCAGTTCGAGATCTCAAGTTTGTTTCCCATAAGGAACTTCACTGGGACAACAGGTAAAAATCTGAATAAGGTCTCTAGATTGGCTAACATGTGTTATGTGAATTTATTTCCTTTATTAAAGTATTTACGTGTTACGTATTTACGTATGTGTTTGAAAATCCTTGTTACAGAGATAGGGAGGGACAGAGATCTTCCATTTGCCTGTTGACTCCCCAAGTGGCTGCAACAGCTGGTGCTAGGCCAGGCTGAAGCCAGGAGCTCCACTCAGCTGCCCATGTGGGTAGCAGGTGCACAAGCACTTAAAGATGATTTTTCCGCTGCTCTTCCAGCCAAAGTAACAGGAAAATGGGTTGGAAGTAGAGCAGCCAGGAGTCAAACTAGCACTTGTACGGGACGCCAGCCTCGCAAGCAGCAGCTGACCCTGCTGTGCCACAACGCTGGCCTCACATCAATGTATTTCTTGATTTTGAAATTCATGGCTTGGTTTTAGGAAATATTCAGAAATTAAAGCCTAAGAACAAAACAAGAAAGGCCACATTTCTCAAATGGGTGAGAAAACACAGGTATGCAGAGGAAGAGAGGAAAACACAGTATAAAGTCAATGTGATGAAATGTTCCCATCCAGCGAGTGTGGATGAAGGGCACATTACAGTCGCCACCCTAAATGTGCTACTTCGCCCCTGAGGATCACCACGGTAGCAGCCAGACTCATCGATGTGAGCCCCCTCTTCACCGCCGCTCCCTTCCTCTCGTGGCCAGTGAATCCCCAAGCTCTGTCGGAAGGCCACCCTCACTATCACAGTCTTACTGCAACGCACCATTACATTCTTCCTGAATAGTGCCAACACTTCACTAAACCTCTCATTTTTTTTTTTTTTAACAAAAAACAAATATTTTTTTTATTTGAAAGACAGTTACAGAGACAGGTAAAGCCAGAGAGACAGAGAGGTCTTCCATTCTGCTGGTTCACTCTGCAAATGACCACAATGGCCAGAGCTGAGCTGATCTGAAGCCAGGAGCTTCTTCCAGGGCGCCCACACAGGTGCAGGGGCCCAAGCACTTGGGCCAACTTCCACTGCTTTCCCAGGCCATTAGCAGAGAGCTGGATTGGAAGAGGAGCAGCTGGGACTCAAACAGGCGCCCTTGTGGGATGCCGGCGCTGTAGGCTGGGGCTGTAACCCGCTGAGCCACAGCGCCGTCCCTGAACCTCTCTTTCCTCCACCCACTCTGCAAGTCAGCGTCACCGTGATCCTAACAGCTAGCACCACTGTTACTTGCCTATGAAGTGGTCTCAGCAGTTGTTACAAGCTTTGAATGGAAGCTCAAACTCCTTAGCATGGCTTGCAAGGCTCTAGATGTCCTGGCTTTGTTATCTTTCCAGAATCATGTATCATATCACCACTGTTCCACGCACCCTCCACACTCACCGTGATAATATAACCAAGAGATCTGAGAAAACAACACAAGAAGGGCACAGGGAACCCCAGGATGATTCCAAAGCAGCAGCGAGCAGCCTGTCCGTGTTGATGTCAGGCAAAGGCTCGGGCAACGAGCTCTTTAAGGAGACAAAATTGACGAAGCAGCGTGTGCATCTTAATGTAATGTGAAAACACAACACGGTGTAACAAAAGGAAAGCCCGCTCAGTGTTGATAGAACAAAATTAATAGACTGAGAACATGTGCGCACTGGGGGCTGTTTCCTGTCTTACTAGAAAGTAAACCCTTAAATGAATCAAGCATTTAAAAAAAAATGATTTAAAGACCTGGGAGAGACTATGGATACAGATGTGATACATACACACAAACATCCATGTTTATACAGACCTCAGTCCTGTGGGGGAAAAGCTCTCAAGTCATTTATTAGAAAGGAAAAAGAAAAGTCTAAGTCATGTGAACACAAAAAAATAAAGTGAAATTCCACCCGGAAATAAAACAAGATGATGCAGGAAAGAAGATTAGGGAATGTATTTAAGAACACTTTAAGAATAAATGACTGGAAGGGGCTGGCACTGTAGCATAACAGGTAAAGCTGCCGCCTATAGTGCCAGCATCCCATCTGGGCGTTGGTTTGAGTCCTGGCTGCTTCACTTCTGATCCAGCTCTCTGCTATGGCCTGGGTAAGCAGTAGCAGATGGTCCAAGTCTTTGGGCCCCTGCACCTGCATGGGAGACCCAGAAGACGCTCCGAAGCCAGAAGACGCTCCTGGCTTCGGATCGGCAGGGCTTGAGCTGTTGCAGCCATTATGGGGAGTAAACCAGTGGATGGAAAACCTCTCTCTCTGCCTCTGCCTCTCTACAGCTCTGCCTTTCAAATAAATAAATCTTTCAAAAATTAAAGGACTGGGGCCAGTGCTGTAGCATAGGTTAGGCCTCCACCTGTGGTGCCAGCATCCCATATGGACTCCAGTTCAAGTCCTGGCTGCTCCACTCAGGATCCAGCTCCCAGCTAATGCCCGTAGGAAAGCAACAGTGGATGGTCCAAGTGTGCCGGCCCCTGGACCTATGTGGGAGACCTGGAGGAAGCTCCTGGCTTTAGACTGGCCAAACTCGGGCCACTGTGGCCATTTGGGGAGTGACCCAACAGATAGAAGAATCTCTCTCTCTCTCTCTCTGTAACTCTGCCTCTTGAATGAATAAATATATCCTTAAAAATAATAAAGGATTGGCCAGCACCGTGGCTCAATAGGCTAATCCTCTACCTAGCGGCGCCGGCACACCGGGTTCTAGTCCCGGTCGGGGCACCAGATTCTGTCCCGGTTGCCCCTCTTCCAGGTCAGCTCTCTACTGTGGCCCAGGAGGGCAGTGGAGGATGGCCCAAGTGCTTGGGCCCTGCACCCCATGGGAGACCAGGAGAAGCACCTGGCTCTTGGCTTTGGATCAGCGCAATGCGCTGGCCGTAGCGCGCCAGCCGTGGTGGTCATTGGAGGGTGAACCAACTGCAAAAGGAAGACCTTTCTCTCTGTTTCTCTCTCTCACTGTCCATTCTGCCTGTCAAAAAAAACAAAAAAATAATAATAATAATAAAGGATTAATTTTCTAGAGTATGTGTGACACCGTGATTAAGTTACAAATGGAGATGCCTACGTTCATTATCAGCCCCCAGTGCTGCAGGAGTTTGGGGTGTGAACCAGAACCGGAAGATGGGCATGCACATTTATTTGATTGCTGTGTGTGTTTCTGTCTCTCCCTTTCTCTCTGTCCTTTTTTTTTGGACAGGCAGAGTGGACAGTGAGAGAGAGACAGAGAAAGAAAGGTCTTCCTTTTCCATTGGTTCACTCCCCAATGGCCGCTGCGGCTGGTGCGCTGCAGCCAGCGCACCACGCTGATCCAAAGCCAGGAGCCAGGAGCTTCCTCCTAGTCTCCCATGCGGGTGCAGGGCCCAGGGACCTGGGCCATCCTCCACTGCCTTCCCGGGCCACAGCAGAGAGCTAGACAGGAAGAGGAGCAACCGGGACACAATCTGGCGCCCTGAGCAGCACTGGAACCCGGTGTGCCAGCGCCACAGGCAGAGGATTAGCTTAGTGAGCTGCAGCACCGGCCTCTCTCTGCCTCTTAAATAACTTTATATATATAGGAGAATACTGGCAGTCATTTGCATGGAATCAAGAAAAGATTATGTGATATGGCTAAGAAATTCAGTTAATAAATAGAGATCATCAGAAAGAATCAAACATAAATCCTGGAAATGAAGAACTCAATATGTCAAGTAAAAAAAATACAGTTGAAAGCCTTAACAACAGA